ACTTTAGTTTGCATATTCAAAATCTAAATTCGATTATGGCTACTATTTTTATCCGTATTAACATTTAACCTGAATCTGAATTCTGAACTGCCAACTCGATCCAAGTGACAACTCGAGCTTATTCTGCCTTTTCAACTTTTCAAGCTTGGAAATGAGCAAACAATGAATCTAACAAACCAATAATGAAAACGAGATGTGCATGGGTAAACAATTTCAAGGGAAAAATCTGTGCTTCAAATTTACAAAATTTCTGAAAGAAAAGTAGCTGAGAACTTGAAACAGAACTTTCAACTTACGTTCAGCTTGTCGATTAGTGTTATAGCTTCAACAACAATCATCCATCATTTCTTTCTATTGACATGAAATGACGTGAAAATTCGTTCATATCATCTTTTTGATTGGTACAGAATCATCGTTCAGCAGAAGGGTTAGGGAATTTACCAGTATTTACAATGGATGGTGATCCACAATGCGGCCTATTTATTCCTAAAACATGGTTTTATGCAGCATTTTGCCTACTGGTTTTCTTGTCTCATTGCCCTGATAATCGGATCTTCATCAAATATTTCATCATCATCATCAAGAAGTTCATCCAACTCGTCTAATAAAGACTGGTTCACCTTTTTGCGTGAGAGTCTTCTATGCTTCTTAGGCTCCAACCTTGGTTCTGCTTGCTTGACACCCAGGTCTCCCATCTTAAACCTAAAACAAGATACGGTGGGCAAGAGAATCAAACACTAATTTTTTTCTTCTTCTTTAGTAACTCAATCATTTCACTAAATCAATTAAAATATAAAATGCATTAAGAAACATCTCAAATTATCAGCACAAGTAAAACTTGTGTATTTTCACTGCTTTCTATCCCAATCAATATATTCATGCTAACATTCATCCATGCAAATATATGGGCTACAAGGGAACCATATTTAGAGGATCATTTAGTTTCTTTGAATTTCAATGAAACATCATCCCATTGGGAGCTCAGTTCTTTTACATTTTTAAAGATTTAATTCTAGAATTAGAAAAGTAAATATCAAGTTCATACAAGTATGCATAAAAAATTAAAAATAAATAATTAAATACCCAAGCAGAACTTCCAAGAATCTAATAAGATTGTAATATTGGAAAGTTAAAAACTTATTTTAAACAATTGTAATTTGGATATACCTAACATCGCTCTCTCTTTTCGTTCCAAGAGTCCGCAATTGAAACTCCTCTCTGATTCGGATCTCGTCAAGCAGCTGAAGATAGTAAGGATATCTTTCCCAATCTGCTTTTACAAGGCACCCCGGTTCACCAACATGTAAGCAATCACTGAAGGAACATTTCCCAACTGCATTATTCTTTAGCATTTTCTCAATCTGAAGAGAAAATTAGTCAATTCTTCAGTTAAAATTGAAAATATATATCAGCATTGAGCTTGAAATAATTACATGAAACAAATTTTAGAAGAGAAGTAGAGAGTCAGCAACAGAAACCTCTGGAAAATGTTGGGCAAGGGATTGCTTTGTAACTTTCATCAAACTAGGCTGGCTAAATCCTGGCGTGTCGGCAAGATATCCTCCTTCAGACAATGGAAGCAGTGAAACATGTCTAGTAGTGTGCTTTCCTCTTCCACTTCTCATTGAAACTTCTCCAACACGCTGCTCTTCGAACCACTTGCTACCTAGAATCTGAATAAGTCGTCCAGAAGAAAACAGAAAAAGAGAAGTTCATTCACAAAGTAGTAAATAATATGCATGCGAAAGAAGAACATAAACATTAATATGAGAAAAGGTCAACCTACAGGTTCAAAACAATTATCATCTTCAGCAGCTCCAGGAACATGCCGATTGCCTCTTAAAGCATTGATCAAACTTGATTTACCAACACCACTTGGCCCAACAATTACAGAGGTCTTGTCTCTAAGAATGAATTTCAGAGTATCAAGTCCCCGTTTAGTATCGACACTGCAGAGGACTGGTTCATAGCCCCAACTACGAAGCCGAGATTTCCACTCTACTAATATCTGCAAGAAGTTAATAATTTCATAACGAAACATGATGACACAATGCAATAGAACAAGGCATACATAAGAGAATATGACAACACAAAAGGCATCCCCATATATGAGAATAGTGCTAGACTCAAACCCTAGTATCAACAAAGCATTAAGCACTAGTATTATCTTTATCATACGCTGCTAACCATTTTCAGATTAGTGTAAGCACGCCAAATGTGTAAACAAGTCAGTCATTGCATCAAACATTTGAAGTTGGTTACTTATTAGCAAATAAAGCAGTGATGCCAAAGGCAAACCATATCCAATAACATATACTATATACCAAATAATACATAAGTAAAACTAATAACAAATAAATGACCCAAATCACTGGTGATTGTAAACCTAACTTCATAATCAAACCCCTCACTTTAAAAACAAATCATTAAATAAGCAAGCTAAAGATCCATTAGCATACTGCAAGCCAGGTATAGTTTTTAAACAGTCAATATTCAATTTTCCGGGAACAAAGACTACTTGGGCAAGAACGCAATATTTATGACTTACATATATACACCTTCTTCAACATCATGCAACTGTGATTAGCTAATAAAAAAGATATATATAAATATATATATATATATATAATTTTTGCACATATCATGTAAATCTCAGCATAATCTAATCTAATTTTGAGAGAAAATTACAATTCTGCATTCAAATTGAAACTCCAAATTAAATGAAGAAAACTGAAACATAATAAGGATTTCATAAAATAAGCACTCAAAAACTGTAATTTCTCATACGTGTTCATCAACAAGCTCTGCCTTATTCAATGCAAGAGTGAGCGGAAGTTCCGTAGATTCAGCCTCCACAAGGAACCTGGTAAGTATAAACGGCTCGAGCTTTGGCTGCTCCATTGAGAAAAGCACCAACAAATGATCCACATTCGCTACTGGTGGATCCAAAATCTCGCTCTTTCGTTGAAATACATTATCAATCATTCCTCTCCTGTCCACCCAGTCAATCGACGACACCAAAACCCTATCCCCTACAAGCACTCTCCTCTTTATCTTCTTCAGTACGGCCTTCACCACACACAACAATTCCACTCCAAATCTTTCCGAATTCTCCGTTCTAGCATCTTCTACAGGCAGCGAATTGACTATAACGCGCATAAAATTGGCTTGAGAGGCGGCAACAGTGCCAATAGCCTGATTTTCCTCGAGATTAGGCTTGTCTTTCTGTGTGAGGACCGGGGCAAGGGAGGAAAATTGCTTTTTGAACGTTTCGCGAGCCTTGAGGAGGTTTTTCTCAGGCTGCTGTTGAAACCTTCTCGAGACGTTCCCCGAGTTTTGCTCCTGCCGTCGGGCGGCGGAAACAACGCAACGCCGGTGGCAGAAGACGGCTGCGGAAGTGAACGGATGTAATTTGTGACGAACAATTGAAATACTAGTAGCGATTGTCATGCTAAATCTTTATCGAATTGTGGAAAGAAATTGAGGCAGGAAATTATGAGTCTGCTGTTTAGGGAGAGATACAGAGATATAGATACAGTGATGCATATGTAATTGTAATTTTTGTATACGTAGTTATCTTTGTTTTCTGTATGTCTCTTCAGTAGAGTGCGGGTGGGGTGAGTGGAGTTTTCTTCCAGTGTGTTCTGCGTGTTGCGGCGAAGGAGAAAATTGAAAATGATAATGCCACGTCAGCAATTAAGAATTGGGCTTCATTGGGCCCAATCCAAATCGAAACAAAAGCGTAATCCTTCTCTAATAATTGAGCAAAGATAAATATATATGTACAAGTTATGATTGACAAAATCTTTCACTCTCTCACATAATGTGTGAACATCACATGTATTTAAAAAAATAGCAACTTGTGGCCTCGACCCCTATTGTGAGTAGTGAGTAAAGAATTGTGTAAAAAAAAAGTTTGTATACGTAATATTGTCCATTGAACAATCAGTTGTCTAACAAGTTTGGTGACTGTACGGACAATTCTTCATTAAACGGAAGCAAATATGAGTATTTTCTTACAAAAAATGGTATCCAGAAACAACTTACTTTGAAACCGATGAAATTAGTGAACGAAGTGCACAACAATGATGAAAGATACAATTCGAACAAAAAATGAGACACAGATCTCATTGCTATTTTCTTCACAATTGCAAAATTGACCCATTAGAAGTCCATCATTGTGATATCAACATCGAAAAATCAAATGGCCATCACGTCTCGAGCTAGAAGAAAATGGAGAATGATACGTCATGACCAGTGCAGTCAAAGTGATGGTAGTAGGTTAATTTAATGTACTAGACAATGCAGAAACAACTTACTTTGAAACCGATGAAATTAGTGAACGAAGTGCACAACAATGATGAAAGATACATTTCGAACAAAAAATGAGACACAGATCTCATTGCTATTTTCTTCACAATTGCAAAATTGACCCATTAGAAGTCCATCATTGTGATATCAACATCGAAAAATCAAATGGCCATCACGTCTCGAGCTAGAAGAAAATGGAGAATGATACGTCATGACCAGTGCAGTCAAAGTGATGGTAGTAGGTTAATTTAATGTACTAGACAATGAATCAGAGGTCCAGAATCATTTAAAATGGTGATGAGCATTACCATTGAGTGAGAATATAGAACTTCCAACAGCTAGTGAGTCTTTATCTCACGAGGAAAGCATAGTGGATTGAGTTTGGTTGACTAGTGAAGATTCAGTTTGGAACTCTAAACAATAGTTTGAATAAGTCCTTGTTTGAGCCATATTTTCAAGGTAGAAAGTAGAAAAAATTTGACCGTTATTTTCAAACGCAGGTCCCACATGAGAGAGATGAAGTCAAATATGGTGGTTGAAATTGGTCTCAAACGATCGAAATTTTCATTTTTTGTGGTTGAAAATATGGCTCAAACAAAGGATAATTATATTATTCAGTTAGCCTATCTATTAGGATTTTTTGAATGGCTCTGGAGAGCTTTGGCACTGATCTAAACGAGTTGAATTGACATAAAGTTGATAAGTCACATCAAATAGCTTTATGGGGGACGTCACATCAATTTAAACCTTATATGCAGACCTGTTTGAGCCATATTTTCAAGGTAGAAAGTAGAAAAAATTTGATCGTTATTTTCAAACGCAGGTCCCATCTGAGAGAGATGAGGTCAAATATGATGGTTGAAATTGGTCTTTAAAGATCGAAATTTTCATTTTTTGTGGTTGAAAATATGGGTCAAACAAAGGATAATTATATTATTCAGTTAGCCTATCTATTAGGATTTTTTGAATGGCTCTGGAGAGCTTTGGCACTGATCTAACCTCACTTTTTGAAATCTTGCATTGGTTTCGTCCGACTCATGAGTTGAGCAAATTTGGCATGGGGGTAGCTAAAACTTTGTAGAGCATGGGAAGAACGCAGAGCCGAGGCGATGAGCCGATGATACGCTCGCGTCGGGTACGTTAAAGCGTTATAGAAATTTTAGGGACTCGTCTTCATCGAAGCGTTGTCAGGAAGAGGGAGACGGCTCAAGCTTTGCAAAGCATGGGAGGGGCGCAGCGACCGAGGCGATAGCAAACGGGGCGCTTGCATCGGGTGCGTCCAGGCTTTGTTAAGTTGGGGGACTCGTTTCTCGCCGAAGCGTTGGCGGAAAAGAGGGTCGACGCGTGGGGAGATGGCTAGAACTTTGTAAAGCAATTGTGGGAACGCAGCGCCCGAGGTGATTAGCGACTGGGGCCTCTGTTTTGGGCCGATTTTTTTGTTCCACTCGAGACAGGACATGACGAATTTTTTTGCCATCACTAACCTAAATTCACTTTTATGAGTGATTTTAAATTTTTAACATTTCAAATTGATGGATTCTATATTTAGATAGGAACTTAAAATCTCACTTTTGAATATTTTGGAGTCAAAACTATACTAACTAAAGAGTTACGGAGTATATCTGTAAATGACCACAAACAAAATCACGTAGAAATGAAATTGGGGACAACGCAGCAACGCTTCAAAAGCTCTCTCTAGTTCCGCCCGCCTTCCGCCGTGCAATTCTCAAAATGTTCGGAGCTCAGCCTTCCTCCGGCGCAGCCTTCGGAACTCCCTCCTCCACACCGGCATTCGGAACGCCCTCTTCCACACCGGCATTCGGAACGCCTTCCTCTACACCTGTTGTTTTGGGCCGATTTTTTTGTTCCACTCGAGACAGGACATGACGAATTTTTTTTGCCATCACTAACCTAAATTCACTTTTATGAGTGATTTTAAATTTTTAACATTTCAAATTGATGGATTCTATATTTAGATAGGAACTTAAAATCTCACTTTTGAATATTTTGGAGTCAAAACTATACTAACTAAAGAGTTACGGAGTATATCTGTAAATGACCACAAACAAAATCACGTAGAAATGAAATTGGGGACAACGCAGCAACGCTTCAAAAGCTCTCTCTAGTTCCGCCCGCCTTCCGCCGTGCAATTCTCAAAATGTTCGGAGCTCAGCCTTCCTCCGGCGCAGCCTTCGGAACTCCCTCCTCCACACCGGCATTCGGAACGCCCTCTTCCACACCGGCATTCGGAACGCCTTCCTCTACACCTGGGTTCGGAACCCCTTCCTCCACCCCAACCTTCGGCACCCCGTCATCCACTCCAGCATTCGGCACGCCTTCTACTCCATCATTCGGCTCGGGGTTCGGCACTTCACTCTTTTCCACTCCATTCTCCCAGCAAGCCCAACCACAACAGCAGCAGCAGACTCCTTCACTATTTCAAACCCCACAGCCACAGCCCAGTAGCCATTTTGGCTTTTCGACGCCATTTGGTGCCGCCGCACAAGCTCAGCCCACGCCGTTCAATGCTCCGTCTTCATTGCCTTTTGCGAATTCACAGTTGACTACTCAGATGGCTCCTGTTGCTCCCCTTCCCTTTTCCCTCGCCGATCGTGATATTCAAGTTGGGGATTTTTTTCTTTTGAATTTTTGGTTAATTTTATAAGTTCTAAATTCAATGTGGACCGCATTTTTAATTATTAATGTTTTTGTACGATTTATAATTGATAGGCAATTGTAGAAGCTTATAAGGAGGAGCATGGGAACCCGAAATATGCATTTAAGGTTTGTTTTTTAATATCGAAAAATTTGGATGCCAGTGTTTTTACACTTATATTGGGTTGCACTACTTTCATTGGTGTAGAATTCAAGCTTTGGATTTCAAAAATGTTAATAGTTCCTTTAAAATATTTTTATTTATTTTAAGTTCCATTTCCCTGACATAAGTTACATGTTGCCAATCTAAACTTGATGTTTCTCATATTCATTCTGGCGTGTCTAAACATATTTTTGATGTCAAGACTGACTTGATTCACGTGAAGGTGTATGTTAAAAATGTTTTTTGTTTTCAGCATCTTTTATTCAGTGTTACTGAACCTCAGCACAGAGCAAAGCCTGCTGGTGTATCAGACGTGAGTTTAAAATTGTAATTTTTGACTTGTTTCACTTATTTCTTTGTTTTTTATTAATGTTGTAAATTTACTTTTATAGTCTATTTAGTGAGTCTGATAAATTAGTTTATATTGCAGATTATGTGGGCAGAGGCAATGGGGAAGCTTGAAGGCATGGAAAGTTCCAACCGGGAACGCTTGTGGCCACAACTTGTGCAGTGGTGTATCAGACGTGAGTTTAAAATTGTAATTTTTGACTTGTTTCACTTATTTCTTTGTTTTTTATTAATGTTGTAAATTTACTTTTATAGTCTATTTAGTGAGTCTGATAAATTAGTTTATATTGCAGATTATGTGGGCAGAGGCAATGGGGAAGCTTGAAGGCATGGAAAGTTCCAACCGGGAACGCTTGTGGCCACAACTTGTGCAGGGTTTTAAAGATCTTTCAAGTCGTCTCAAGGTACATTGAAGTGTGACTAGTTCATAGTTTTACTAGTAAGGGGAGTTATAGTAGATCGCATACTATTATACTCTCTCCTATATATGCGGGCTGCTGTCAGAATTATTTGTCAAAGGTGAAGGCGTTGAGCATTTTTGATGAATGCTTTAATGCGTAAGCTAATCTGTGAAGCTGAGGTTAAGAAAGAACTACCAGATTTAACTGAAGTATTTTTTTTATATTTTTCTCAGCTGCTTGTGTCATTTAAAGTGAATTGCCTAGGAACGCTTTAATGATTATTGAGTTGGAAGCTCCTCATTGTTGTTCCAGATTGCCCCTTTTAAGCTACAAATTAAGAATAAACCTGTTGGAAGGAAATGAAAATCTTGACTTCCAAATCTAAGAAGCGTCAGTTGCATTTCTGTGGAGCATCATTGTAGAAAGTTAGTAGATTTTCTCATAACTCCAACCTGCAGGGTTAAATAGACATGAAAAAATACACAAGAGAAGTCAACTTTTTCATTATTGTTTGAAGTTCGTATCTCGAGGACTCTGGTGTATTCTTTGAAGAATTCACATGCAGAATTTGATTGTGGTTTGTTTCTTTCGTTTAGATTGTGAAAGTTTCAACCTCAACTTCCTAGACTATGGCTTAAAGACGTTTTCTTACCTTTTAGCTTTCACAATGACCATGTGACTTGGTAGATTTTCAGATTGCTGGCATTTTATGCGTGACCTGAATGAGCAAAACATGAGTAGTCTGGGATAGATATTTCTACTGTCTTGTGATAATCAGATTCTTTGTCGTTGTATATGTGTGATTGCCATCGTCTTCATGCATGTTACTTCCTGTTATAAAATTTTTACAAATCATATTGGTCATTGATGATAGAACTTCATGCTGTAATTTGGTAGTAGATGAGCATGAAAGTATAGGCTTTAGGCATTGTGCTATCGGTAACAGGATATTTCTCTATTGTCTGGTGTAAATGAATCTGATCACAAGAAAGCACATAAATCATAGATTGCGTTTATAGCACCTTTTAGATAGCGAAATTGAATTGTTGTGAGGTAGATAAATCCTCATCAAAGTTTAGAGCCTGTTTGTCTCCCATCATGGGAGAAATTAAAGAGTTCTGAATAGTTTTTATTTTTTATTTTTTTGAGATTGTGTGGTTAAAATTTAAAGAAATTTTACCGGTTTGTGTAGAATATTTTATTGTGTGAATGTGTGGTGGAGAATGTTACAGTAACAAATAATTTAATTTGTTATAGGATGACAAATAGGGGCTTAGTAAACAATCTAAATAATGGTCTAACGTGTCAAAAAAAGAATGGAACTTCTGAATTGGAGAAACTGGTTTGGTAGCCAGTGAGCTTGAACAGAAATGGCAACCACTATGAAGGAAAATGATTCCTTTGTAGTTGCGATGCTTCAAGGGATCTCTTCACCTCCCAACAGTAAATATAAATAAATAAATCTCAAATTTAGTAAAGATGACTACCTTGTTTATACTGCAATAAAAAAGTTTAGCTAAATGAAAACTAAGCGAAACAGCGGGGTTCTCTGTTTCGGGTTCCATCTCATTTAATTTTTAATTGTTATTAAGATTATCGAGAGCTCGATTGTCATTGTAAAATATGGGTATTCCGTTTTCTCTAGTATTACAGTTTTCTCTCTCATGAACAATCATATTTGGGTCTATGACTCTTCAAAAATGATTGTTAAAACTTTCAATTTCGACTGCTGCAGCTTCAAGATGAAGTCATACTCTCAGATTCTGAGAGATTAAAGATGACACGTAGCAATGTGAAGATGGTATTGTCTCTGTTATGTTCGTCTGCCCGCCTTTCTTGTTCTGTGCATTAATAATGTACCATATACCTTTATAACCTTTGATTAGTGTAGCTCCAAAGGCATTTTCAAGTTGACACTCTTCCTCGGATTCAAAGAATGCAACAAAAAGAGCAAGTTCTTCAAAGGCGTCTTTTAAGGGTGAGAATTTGGATTAGCCTTTTATGTCTGGTATTGGTGGTCTTCTTGTGCCGAATATGTTGTATGTCATTTTCCTTCTATTCTTTTCGAGTTATTACTGGTGTTTTATGATTTTTTTTCTATGAGATAATCAGAATTTAACTAGTGAATGCATGCTCAGTTGTTTTTATACAAGTTCTGCTTCTATGTCTTGTCCAATTGCTATAATCTTGCATGTGATATTATAATCAGGTAATGAGAATAGTAGAGGCACTGGAGGGTAAAGGTTTCCGGTTACCTCTGATGAAAGGAGAAGCTGAATTGGCTGAGAAGTTGGCTGCAATTACTCGGCAGGTTGTTTATAATTTGATCTTGCTGAATGCCTCTTACTTATTTGGAATGAAACAAGTGACTGTACTCACAAGAATATCCGACCCTGCAGTTAAAAGGACCTGGAGCAGAACTTTCTCGAAGGGTTCAAAATTTGCTTGCTATTTCTCGTGTTCAAGCACATGGCCTTGATGGTGGCTCTCTTTATCTTCCAGGATCAACCAATATCGATGAACAAAGTCTTGCTGACATGCAAGAGGTAAGCTAAAATTTATCGAAAACCATTTTAGGCTGCTCAAAAAGTTGCTTCAATTTGAATGGACTAGTTTTGTAGCATTTGTTGTTTACATAAATGACTGTCTTTTCATTGCAGGTCTTGCAACAGCAAACTGAGGCTATATCTAGGCTTTGCAATGTTATGAAGAGAGATTTCCGAGATTTGGAGATCATAATGGCTGAGGATGCTCAGATGGTTAAAGAGTAGAATAAGCAGTTTGTCCGTTTGTTTTTCCTTTTCTTTTTCTTCCCTAGTCTCCGTTGGTTAAAAGTTCTTTTTTTCGGGAAATGAACTGGAAATTATTTTACATCTAGAAGTAAATGAGAAGAGTGCATTTTCTGTATCATTATGCCAACACAATCCAATTTCAAGATACTTTCAAGGAAGATAGAACTGATGTGAGTATTGTGTTCATCCATTTATATTGAGGTAGAGGTCGGAAAATCTTGTGACGCCATTCTAAACCTTTATTCTTTGTAACGCTATACAGGGTTGATAGTTGAGGAAAAAACCTTGATATAACAAGGCTTTGACATTCATGTACCATTGCTATCAGAAACGTAATTGAAGCTTGGGATCATATCGCCTTTGAATTACATGCCCGAGGCCAAAAAAAAATAATAATCATGTAACTGCACATTCAAATTTGATCGATATAAGTTACAATTCTGTGTGTCTAGGCTGTCCTGTGATCCTGTTTCTATAATCTAACACTGATATTGAATCACATACACTGTGTCAAGTCAAGTCAACTGCAACTGAAGTCTGATTTGCACGATCCAATGCAATTGTGGAGAGGATTTTGCCTTTTGCTAGCATGTACTAACATTCGTTATATGCTTCTGCCATGATCAACAGCACAAGTGACGTCCAACCAGTAAAGAGGCGCGCACCTTTTCCTTTTCCTTTTCCTTTTCCATTCTTCTGATCATACTGTTCCCAGAAAAAGCCGGTCTGGTTATAGTTTCTTACCACATTTCTAAGACAAAAGAAATCAACATCAGGCAAGAATATACCGTACATAAAATGTATGTTTGATATGCGCTGCACTACCGAACACAACGTACAAGATTTTAAAACCTTTCCTCTTTATCCTGTTCATATTGTCTAATCCCACATACTAAAGAAGCGAGGAAAAAAAATAATGGCACAGAAGTCAATTGAACAAGAAATTCAGGTGGCAGTTACCTTATCAAATTATCCCTCAAATCACTGTAGACAGTCTTTGCTCTCCCTCTGTATGGTCCATCAACTGAAGAATCAAATATAACTACAAAATGTCAGAAATAATTATAGCAAGAAAGAATAATTCATGTTATTGTGTACCTTTAGAATAGTGGTTAAGTGAAGAAAGAACCAAATAATTCATGTTCATCCAAATTGTCCCTCTCCAATATGGTGGATCGTGCTCAGTGTTGCGTATCATGTACAGTGTGCTGCGACATAAAAGAATTTTTTATTAACATTAATCAGAAGTTCACCCAAACAGAAGGCTGTCAATCAAAAGGAAATAAGTTTTTTGACTTTGTTAGAAAAATAACTTCTAATATTATGTCCGGCAAACAAAGCAGCTTAAAAGTAACTCTTACTTCTTTTCAAGATCAGTGCTCTCAGTCAAGAGCCTGAGTACATCATTATTTACCTTGTCTTGGCAAGAGATTTGAGTCCAAAGTCGGTCCACAGAGCACTTCTGTTTGAAATGAGATCAAGTTGTTTTTCTAAAATCCATGAATCCTAAGTGGATGACAAAAAATAACCTTTCAATACTAAACATCAATGAGAAAGTGACGAGCAAAATGATGAAATAAAAAGTATCCTTGACCAACTCAGGTGGAATAAGTCTACCAATAAACAGGAAAAGGCTGACATAGCCAACATGAGGAACCAGTCTCAGCACAGGATCCTCAAGGACTTCTCATACAAGCTCATGAATAGGGTAATCACCAGCCCGCTCCACTAGTCTCCAACTTAGACGAACATACAAAGAAAAGATTGCTAGTTCGAGAATGAGCCTACAAGAAATACAAGTGTGGTCCTATCATTGTCTTTCTTTCTCCTCTGATTTTTTTTTTTTTTCCCCAGAAAAAACTTCCCCCCAGTTTTCATCTATCATTACCTCTATGTTTCAAGACATAACAATTACTAACTAGAAGACCTTACATCAAGTCATTTTAACAAGTATTCTAAACCCCTCCCCCCCCCC